TATCTAATATATAAATGAGTCCATTTGTCTCGACCGATGGACCTATATCGTTAGTTATATTCCCTTTTAAAGAAAAAGACGAAGATTAATTTTTACTTATAATAAATAAATATACAAATAATAATAATAATAATTAAAGAATGATATGCACCAAATGCCACGAACATATAATTTTGATAGGCAGTTACTGTATGAAAGGCCAATGATGGTGGCTTGACACCCGAAGCGCCCGGGACATTTAGTTCAGAAAATGTATAAGGTTTGTTTGAAATATCTAACAAAATCATATCGGGTTTTGCAGCGGTTTCATTTCTTACATAACCTTAAAGAAACAAATAATTAGTATAGTTAATACAAAATTTATTTATAAAATTTTTTTATTGATAATTTACTTGAAGTGCCGCCAATTATGATAATTGTATTATTGTCTGGCGTCAAAGTGGCCGTATGGCCAGTTCGAGGTTGAATTAAAGTTGAACCAAACTCTGCATGCTATACATGTAATAATTATATTGTTAGTGAAAAAAAAAATGCGATAGTTAGTTACTAAAAAAAAAAGAGGAAAAAAGCCAAATACATACTTCAGTTGACCAGGTTGAAGAAATTGTATCGAATACTGGGATCTGTAATAAGAGTTAATAAATGAATTTTTGTTAACAATATAAAGAAAAAAATCGACATATAAAAAAAAAAATTGTCTCAAAAAGACAATACTTGATATAGCCGAAAAGTTTGACACAAAAATAACTTACAATTTTCATATCTATTGGTGTTGCATCTTTTCCAGGAGTATCCTGACTACCGCCTCCGATATAAAGGATCTTACCGTTTGGAAGCAATACTGCTGCACTATGACTTCGAGGTGTGGGAACATTGCTGGCATCAATCTTACCCCACCTTGACAAAATTGTGTCATAAGTGTATAGATCGTTAAAGCAAAGAAATGTGGGTGAACCTGTATCTACTTCAACTCGCCCACCAAACATATATATAATTCCTTTCGATATAACCGTTGAAGTTGATCTACGTCTAATTGTTGGTGCATTATCATTTGCGACAGACTCAGGACTCATCCAAATTCGTGCAGTTGATCGATAAATGAAAAGTGATTGATTTGTTGAATTCCAAGTTTTGAGAAATTCATTTATCATTAATGTCTGATTTGAAGTTATTGTTGCATTACGATCTATCTGATCAAGTAGGGTGAGATTTTGTTGCACACCTCCCACAAGATGTATTTCCTCATTAGAAGGACCACCCACTAGTGCCGTTCCTAATGCACGTATTAAATAATTTAAGTACAATTAAACATATTTTTATAATTAAAGAATTAGCTGAGAAATAAAATAAAAAGCAAACCTTTTTCATTTCCAAATTGCAATCGCGCGGAAGTCCCAGTAAGGTCTACGTACGGCGGACTGGCTGTAGAGAATGGCGATGTAAGCTCCAAGTAAAAAATTTCATTCGACAAATTATAACCTCGAATTGAGCTTTTGAATGGACTCGCATTTGGAATCGCACGTGATCCGCCCATAAAATATATTACATTTTTTAATAATACTGCCTCATGACCTCCTCGGCCTTCAGGGTTAAAACCATTCGTTTCAAAAGTCATACATATAAAAATATGTATAAACAAAATTGTTTTGATAAAATAATTTACTCTTAGTCTCCAAAGGGAATGCATGATATTACTAATATTGATAAGCATCAACCTTTTAATTTATTACTGATGTTTGCGTTAATTTTATTACAATTTAAAGGTCATTCAAAGGTCATTTAAATAAAAAAATATTGTTAAAATGTTTTGAAGTTATTTGGCGAAATATCCAGCTGGTGCTCATTTTATTGTTGACTGAAGTTAAATATCGGAGAATCACACAAATCCATGGAAATTCTACACCGAAGGCTTTTGATCTTTACGTTCATTATATTAATAACATTTCGGGATATACCGTATTTCTAAAGTATTGTACTCATGCAAACTTGTACGCAAAATATTTGAATAGCGCATTATATCATTCCAAATTGGTATGAATAAACGAACAAATATTAAAGCCTATTAGGTAGTTAAACATTTCCCAACATTAAACAACAATCGCAGCACTGAATAACCTTTACTAGTTATATGCATTGATCTCTTAAAATTCCTCAGTTGTTTAAAATATTGAATGGACTTATGTATATTATATTTCTATCTAATAATATATAGATTTTTGTGCGTTAAATTAATAATCTGTGTCAGTATAATCCCACTAATACCTAACTTAGGTATCCACCTAAACCTTAATAAAACTCCGATTTAAAGTTTGATCTGGCGCAAATTTTAATCCGATGACGACATAAACATATGACAGATTATACGTAGCAATGGTGGAAATAATAGATTTTCACGCCAAATTAACTAAACAATTAAAGGCAAATACGTAATTAGAGTATATATTAGTAAATACATTGTTTTTACTTATATATATATTAAATACTACCGTTGTTTTTTTTCCTTATATATATGTGTGTAATCCGTTGTTTTTTTTCCTTATATATAAGTATGTAACTAGATTAAACACAATGTGATTCTGTGTTACACACTTGCCAAAATTATTATGATAAAGATCATAGGGTAGCTCCGCAGCATGTGATACCGCGCATGACCATTACGATCTGCAATAAGTTAAATTCAAAAAATCATTTAAAAAAACTATTTAGATAGCTTATTATAAACCTTTATATGTTGATGACCGTTAAAGTGCGCATACAAGATTCCCCAAAATAGTAGACCCATCATGAATCAAACCCGGTGCGAACTGCGAATCTTTAATAATTAAATGCGGATTTTTCCAAATTGCCTATTATATATACAAAATATGATATAAATTTTAAATTTTTTCTTTTCATGACGTAATCTCTCAGCGTGTATCAGACCGATTGCTAAAGGGTTTAATAATTTGTAAATAAACGAATGCTATAGTGCAATGGCACAATAAACACCACATAAAAAATTCGTCTGATTGGTTAATTTTTATGGTGATAATTAACAATCAGATTACTGTACACTAAAAAACGAAAAACTCAAATTTTTATATTATATTAATAAATATACAACAGAATCAATTATTGAAAATTCAAATTTTTATATTAATAAATATACAAAAGAATCAATTATTGTTGAACCTCCAAAATCCATCCTGTTAAAACAGATAACTTGTTAAATCCAATAAAAACAATCTACCAAGTAATGTTCCTAGATTTGGTTCGGGTCTAGTCCGGTCTGGTCTGGTTTGACTTTTAAACAAAATTCACATAGCAATCTTTATTAATTTTCAAATCGAAACCAAATAATTATAAGTTTGGTCTTAACTTTGCAAATTAGTTTGAATGCATATATTGTTTTGGGTGATAAACAAGTTGATTTATAATATAAATAGGAATTAATTAGTAAAATTTTGAAAATTATATATAATACTTTGATTTTACTCAAAATTTTACTATATAATTGAATCTAACTTTATATTCTAAATAAACTTATTTAACACTAAACAATATATTAAATGGTATCTTTTATTGAGTTATGTAATTTAGCGCATATGCGTTATAACGCACCCACCTGATCAACCAATCAGATCGTGTAACGTGAAATCGAAAGGAAAATAAAGAATTTTTCTAAAAATCGCCTATAGCTCATAATTTTGGTTATGAAATCACCTTTTGCGTTCTAATAAACAAAATTCCTTGCAAAATTTGGTATAGAAACGTTTTCTTACCCAAACCTTAAATTAACACGTTAGTAGTTTGTTATATTTCACGTTACACCTGATCTTATAAGATGCATACGCGCAAAATGATATAATTCATATTTTTCTATTATATATATTACTAGATGTTTTAACCCGTTGTTGAACAACGGGTAATGTGATACAATAATCACGTGGTGCGAGACGGATTGAACATCTAAATTTTTATAATATAGATATATATAATTGTCCGAAGCGTAGCGGAGGACTTACAATGGAGACAAAATGTCTTGGGTTCGCTCACGTGATACTGGGCCAATCGGCATTTAAAACATATAAACAGATCGATACGACAAGGCGGAAGATCCCGTAAAAATTATTATAGCTTCGGACACTAACAGCACCTGTTTTCCTAGTATTAATATGTTGAAAATATTTTGCAAAAAATTAAAAGATTATGCAAAGTAACACTAATAAAAAATGGCTTTAACCCTAAAGTTAACTCAATAAACTATTATATTAAATAAATTGCCTCCACTTAGACTTTTATTTATTAGGACATACTTTCTTTTTATAGGAAATCATATACTGTATAGCGCTAAAACATTAATATGCTAAAACACTAAATCACAAAGTATGTCATCTATGGTACATCAATAAAATTCAACGATGCATGCACTATTTAAAATTTTATTTATTTGATTGTTAAATATTATAAAAATTACATATTGCAAGTATTAGTATCATATATCACAATTACTAAATGGCATAAATAGTAAATGTAGGCATATGAAAATAAAGTTGAATACCATAATAACAAATTCTATTGTTTTACACTCAGATAATTTTAAAGTGTATAAGTAAATATTTGACCTTGCGGATAAAGCATAACCCAAATAATTATGATAATAAGTGTTTCAAGTTCCATAAGGACCTTAATGAATATCAAAAATTTTTCTCGAGGAATACTCGGAGTTATAAAGTGTATTTCCAATTCCAATTGCACCAGCTTTTGAGTAAGCAAGTTAAAATTATTCCCACGAATTCTATTGCAATAAGACACACAAGAGCTATAATAACATGGTATTTTGTATACGATATTTGACACAATGATTTGCCAGGAGTGAAATTGTTCGTACAGGTTATGCACGGCATAGTTATATCTAATACATAAATGAATCCATTTGTCTCGACCGATGAACTCCCATCGTTAGTAATATTCCCTTTTTAAGAAAAAGACGATATTAATTTTATTTATAATAAATAAATATATACATATAAAAATAATAATAATGATTATAGCATGATACAGTAATTACCGAATGTAACTATCATATAATTTTGATAGGAAATTACGGAATGATAGGCCAATGGTGGTGGTGCCTTGGCACCCGAAGCGCCCGGGACATTTAGTTCAGAATATGTATAAGGCATTTTTGAAATATCTAACAAAACAATAATTGGTTTTGCAGTGGTTTCATTCCGTACATAGCCTACAAATAAAGAAATAATTAGTATGATTAATATAAAATTTATTTAAAAAAAATTGTTTTTTATTGATAATTTACTTGAAGTCCCGCCAATTATGATAATTGACGTATTGTCTGCCGCCAGATTGGCTGAATGGCCTGCTCGAGGTTGAATAAGAGTTGACCCAAATTCCGCTTGCTATAAATATAATAATTACATTGTTAGAAAGAAATAATGCAATAATTAGCTATTTAAAAAAAAAACGGATAAAAAACAAATAATACTTCAGACGACCAGGTTGAAGACTTTGTATCGAATACTGGGATCTGTAATAAGAGTTTATAAATAAAGTTTTGTTGACATATAAAGTTAAAATTTGTCTCAAAAATAAAATACTTAGTATATCCGAAAATTTAACACAAAAAATAACTTACAATTTTCATATCTATTGGTGTTACATCTTTTCCAGGAGAAGCCTGACTAACACCACCGATGTAAAGGATCTTACCATCTGGAAGTAACACTGCAGCGCTGTGACTTCGAGGTGTAGGAACATTATCGGCATTGATCCTATTCCACTTCGACAAAACAGTGTCATAAGTGTATAAATCGTTAAAGCAAATAAATGTGGGTGAGCCCGTATCTATTTCAGCTCGCCCACCAAATATATATATAATTCCTTTCGATATAACTGTTGAAGTTGATCTACGTCTAATTATTGGTGCACCAATATTCGCGACAGACTTAGGATTCATCCAAGTTTGTGCAGTTGGCCGGTAAATAAAAATGGTTTGATTTGTTGAACTCCAAGTATTAAGTAATTCATTTATCATTAATGTCTGATTTGAAATTATTGTTGCATTATGATCTATCTGATCAAGTAGGGTAAGATTTTGGTATACACCTCCAACGAGCAGTATTTCTTCATTAGAACGTCCACCAACTAATGCAGTTCCTAATGCATGTTTTAAATAATTTAAGTATAATTAAAAAAATTTTTATAATTACAGAATTATTTGAGAAAATAAAATAAAGTGCTAACCTTTTTCATTTCCAAATTGCAATCGCGCAGAAGTCCCACTAAGGTCTACGTACGGTGGACTTGTTGTAAAGAATGGTGATGCAAGATCCAAGTAAAAAATTTCATTTGACAAGTTATAACCTCGTATAGAACTTTTGAATGGACTTGCATTTGGTATCGCATGGGATCCACCGATAAAATATATTGTATTTTTAAGTAAGACAGCCTCATGACCTCCTCGGCCTTCAGGGGTAAAACCATTCGTTTTAAAAGTCATACATACAAAAATATGCATGAACAAAATAGTTTCGATTAAATATTTTACTCTTAATCTCCAAAGGGAATACATGATCAATGAATATTAATAATATTTGTGTTAATTTTATTACAATTTAAAAGGTGATTAATAAAAAAAAAATGTTGTTAAAATGTTTCAAAGATATCTGGCAAAATATCCAGCTGGCACTCATTTTATTGTTGACTGAAGCTAAATGTTGGGGAACCATGGAACTTTCCACACAGAAAGCTTTTGATCTTTCGTTGTTATATAGTTCAGTAATCTTTATATTAATATTTAGGGATATATTTTCGAAGTGCAGTCCGGGAATATAATAGATATATTAATATTTCGGGATACATTTTCAAAAGTCCAGTCCGGACATATGATCTACATACTGCATAAGTACATAGCACACATGTGATATGATTTAATATTGGATGCAACTGGCCAATACTGCCAGAGATTAAACTTTATTAAATAATTATTGAGAATATGTGTAGCATACATCGGTACTATTGATGTATAAGCTGAGAACGGGATATGCTCCCAGAAATAACAAGTACCATCGTGCTGGGTATCACCGTCCATAGCTGAATCAGTGATGCGAGCATCAAACGGTGGTTTCCCACACTGCATAAAACAGGCGGCCTTGACTATAAGTTTTAAGATACCCCAAAATGGTAGGATTTCTGCATGGGGTTGAGGATTTGGGTGTGATTTTTGCCTAAGATTTGGCGGGCTTCATCGATATCAATCAGCAGCCCCGTTCTTATATTTCCATATACACAATGGTGCTATTATTAGTAATAATTTATTATTAGGAATAATTCAATAATTCGAAAATTGGCCGCTTGATTGAATACGTATACAGTATCTAACTGCATGCGCTTTCATGCGGGTTGCTTATTCAATTGCTTAATTTGGTCAAATTAATTTAGGTACGTACATACCGGTTTCTAAGCCGGTGATCTACTCTGCAAGATTCCTACCGGCATATCCATTTTTTCGATCTGTTGACTTTCCGTCAGCTTAAACGAAAAGCATCGCACGCACATGAAATGAGTTAAAATTGGATGCATTTGACAAAAACTACCAGAGATTAACCTTTATTAAATGATTATTGAGATTATGTGTAGCATACATCGGTGCAATTGATGTATCAGTTGAGGATAGGATATGCACCCGGAAATAGCGATTATCATCGCACTATATCACTGTGCACATCTGAATCAGCATCAACCGGTGGTTTCCCACACTGCATAAAGCAGGCTGTCCTTGACAATAAGTATTAAAGATACCCCAAATGGGTCCAATATTACCGAACCTTATTTGGAAGGATGTTAAAATGAAGCAATTAAAATTAGATTAGGGTTGTTCAGAGACCAGGTATTGGACAATAATTATAGGTAAAATTGCTCTCCTGACGTCTTGTCTCGATTGATTGGTTAATCTATGTAGATCGTGAAGATCACCCAAATAAGGTGGTCGTCTAAAGTGGAGATAAATCGTGTGACTATCAGCCAATCGAATTAAAGAACCTAAAAGATGCAAAAAATGGCAGTCAAAACCATCATGCGCATGGGAATAATTCGGAACATTTCGGAATTTCATAATTCTGGTCCGCATTAGCAGCAAGCTACCATAATGCGGGCCAGAATCTATAATGAGGGCAAAATTCCATACGCATGAAATTTGAAAAAACGCTAATTTGCACATCACAAGTCAAAACCTGCCTTGGGTAGGTTAAGCAAAAATGCCGGGAAGGCAATTTTACATATATATGACTACCTAAAACCTAACCTAACCCTAACATAAAATGACCCTAACCCTAAAGTTAATTCAAAAATACTAATTATATAAATTATCTCGCTTTTAGATGT